CCGACGGCGACGACGGGCAGCAGCTGCTGCCCGAGGCCCGTGAACGTGCGGAAGTGCTCGTGGTCGACGGCCGGGCTCGACGCGATCTGCGTGAGCGCCGAGATGTCGCCGTGCGAGAGCTTGCAGCCGACTATGTTCGGGTGCGCCGCCAGCGTGACGAAGGTCGAGGGGGTGATCTTGACGTTGTTGGACACGCCCGGGTAGTGGTATCTATTCGAGGATCTGGTCAGCGAGCTGGAATATGGGATTGCATAGATACGTAGGTAGGTAACACGGGGCAACTTCAAGATAGTTTGAACCTCCGAACCCTCTTCAGTAGTAAAAACAAAAAAGGGGAGAAGAATGGAAGAGAATAGTATGAGAGAGGGAGTAGTACATTAACACAGGTATAGGACTCCGATCAGCAACGGCCGTGAACCACCGGACGATGCCCTCCTGGGTGCTCGCGCCCGCGAAATATCCGGGGGCCAGACACATGCCCCACTGGGCGCCGGCCTCCTTCGCGGCGCGGAGCTGCGCGACGGTCTCCTCGATGCTCTGCGTCGCGGTGCCGGCGAGGATGGGGTAGTCGGGGAATCCGTTGTCCTCGAACGCGCGGCGCACGCGCGCGAGCAGCTCGAACCGCTCCTCGTTCGTCACGTGCACCGCCTCGCCCGTGCTGCCGAGGATCACGAGCCCCCTGATGCCGCCGCGCGCGAGGTAGAGCGAGTGCGCGATCTGCGTGTCGGTGTCCAGGGGCGCCGCCTCCGCGTTGTAGTTCGCCGCCTGCTTGCCGACGAAGAACGTCGGCACCGGGACGTAGACCCCGGGGGGAGGAACGGCTGCCATGGTTAGCTAGTTGGGTGCTAGGGCTTGTATTGGGCCGTTCTCAGATGGATAGAATCTTGTCGTAGGTAGGATAGCACTTGTCTCGCTCACGACGTAATGTGTGAATATAGGTTTCCAGAGGGAAAGGTATTAGTCGAATGAAAGGAATCCGAGTACAGGGGCCCAATCTCCTTGTTAAGCACCACGAGCCTGTTCTAGTAACGCGGGGCTCGACGGGAGATGCGCGCAGTACTTAGTATATATAGAATGGCTAATGTGGTGAAAGGTGGGCATTCGGGATTTCGGGGAAATGCGTTGCGAGAGCGTATTGCTATTATGTCAATGGCGCGCTGATATCTGGAGAAGCCGGTGTCGGGGAGTTGGGGGCACCCCATCAACACACTGGGATATATTGTACCTCTTCATGACTAATGTCACGATGCTCAATGGATCATCAATTCGTAACTCCTTAAATAATCGTCTCTCAAGTAGCTGCGTCGATGTTCCAATGCGTCAACTTGTGCCTACTTCTCATGCATCAACACTTCTCTTTGCCCACTAGCTCAGTCGCAATTGATAGCACGTAGACATTCTTGGAAGGCTTACACATTACGCAGGTTGCAGAAGACCCTATAGTGTTGTCAAATGAGTGCCACGCTAAGGTTATCGTATTAAGAGCAAATAAGCGCTGTGCAGAAGAGTCCCATAGCTAAGTGTCTAGCTGATCAAAAAAAAACCCCACCATCTCGTGACAGCTTCGGCAACGCGTCCCATGCTTCCAAGTCTTTTCATAACCAAAACTGCCGTGGTAGACAGAGTCCAAAGGCGTATTAGGATCAAGTATATATATCCCGTATATATGTAAGTAACCTGGGCCCCTCCGATGCAATGCTACAATTTTATCTATCCGTATATATGTGCAAATCGCTGAATAAATTCACAGTTTACTAAGAGATGCGTCAGTGATTGCTACCACAGAGCAAGAGGAACGTGTTAGTTCGACTTACACAAACAAGCGAGTAGCGAGGCGAGAGCGTTCCCAAATCACCGGCTCCGTAGACACCGAAGTCAGGGCTGGCTGTGCCCCACTGCGACTCCTGCAGATCGTACCAGAATAGATTGACCTTCTTCTTGATGAGCGTGCAGGCGATTTTCTGCCAGTATATGCGGGCGTTCGCGGCGCTGGGCACAGCGAGGTTGTTCTTCTTGCCGGTCACGGGCCAGCCGGTCTCGGTGACCCAGACGGGCTTGTTGCCGGCGAGCTTCACAGTCTTGTTGTATCCGTCGTAGAAGCGGGTCGTGGCGTCGTTGATGCTGTTGGCCTTGGTGGTCTCCCAGTACGGGTAGCCGTCGAAGCCGAGCCAGTCGATCGCGGGGATGACGGCCTTGTTGGTTCCGTTCAGGAACGAGTCGTACGTGTCGACGTGGCCGATGGGCACCTTGGCCAACGCCGTGCCGGCGAGAGCTGTGCGGACCTTCTTGATGCAGTCGATAAGGTACTTGGGTGATGTGCCAACCTCACCGGCAGCGTCTCGGTAAAGGTCCTCGCTCCCCACGGAGATACCAATCACGAGATTGGTGAACTTGGTGCCGTGCTGGCTGATGGCAGCCTTCAGTGCGGTGATCTCATTGGTAATGGACTGTGTGCCGCCAGAGATCCAGAGACCGAGGAGTAACTTGGTGTTCGTTTCGATCGCTGCCGGGACGGCTGATATCACGTTGGATTTGGTGCCCCATTGGACTGCAGATAATTCTTAGCACCTTGTCCCTTTGTGATAGAGTGGAGATACATACTCATGGAATATAGGCGAGCACTCGTCCATCCACTGGTGCCAGGCATGGCTTTGGCACGCTTGAACTCGTAAGTGAAGTCTGCTTGCACCTTCGCCTGCTGGTTGAGGAAAAAGGCGCCATAGTTGAAGCCTTTGATACCGGAGTTGGCAGGAGTGGGAACAGCATCAGTGAGTCCGACAGAAGCCGCCAGGGCGAGGACGGTGGAGGAGAAACGCATTGCGTATGCGTACACAGACGAAACGAGGAAATCTAGAAGAGCGAGTGAAAGCTAGTCTACAACGATGTGTCTAACAACAAAGCGAGTGAATCTGGGTGAGGATATTATTGTTTAACTATACGTTGGTATACCAGATAGATTGGAGTTGAGAATAAGAAGAGGAAGAGGAAGAGATCAGCTCATTCGTACATATAATCGGGCATCGTTCGAGATCCGGACCCTGGTCAGGGATCCGATCCTCGTCATCATCATCCTTGGTCAAAAGGGGAGACGGATTCGACGGATTCGACGGATAGTGGACCAAATTGACCCAAGAAATCTTGGTGAATGGCAGATGCCGACGCCACCCATAATCTCGTATTGGAGACCCGCAGGCGCCATCTCAGCCCCAAAACCCACATCGAATCGCTGTCAGGACGCGTGTATGGTCGAGGGGGATATTGGTGTGTCATAGCTCATTATTGCTGGGCCAGTTCACAAATCAGACCCCTTTTCGTGTAGACACCTGGGTAGTCTTCGTATTGACCTTGCATTTGCTGAATTGGTATTGAGTTGTTTCTTGGCGAGGGCAGAAACAGGGCTACCGACAGGGCGTGTCGATCGCTGGCGCCTAGTTGCGATCCGTGTTCCTGAGAATGACCCGGAAATATCCCACTGGAAGCGATCTGTAAATTAAAAGCGGATATATCAATCTCGCCGCAGCAAGTCTAGAACGCATCGTTCTACCGCGCTAGAATACCACGCTCCGTGTATATCTTCCCTCCTGATCGTTTTCTAGGGTTAGTGTAAGGAGAGTTAATTGACCCAGCAGAGCGAAGACGACGGCCCCTAAGAACGTTTTAACCCATTTTTAACTATACACCTCCTCCAGGATTCTAAATGTTAGTGCGAGTGACTTACTAGGGTAGTAGCCAGGGTCTAACCAGGGTCTAGAGTATTAAGTCAGCATGTACCTTTATACCAAAATTTATATGGAAAGGTACCATCACAATAAAACGCGAAGAAGTGAAATGATTACAACATTTAAAGCTGTCAGAATTCTATTGAATCAAGCATCAGCCTACCTACTGATTCTAGCTATTGTTGAATTCTACGCGGTAAGTACCTTTCCATATAAATTAGGTGTGTATATACAATTATTAAACCCTGGCTACCCCCTGGTAAAAGGTATCGCACTAACATTTAGAATCCTGGAGGAGGTGTACTCGACTACCTATGCCCAATTAAATACCTAACTTTTTATTTCTATTATCAAGCTTATGTCCAGCGAACTTCGGACCTAGTTCTCACTATAAAAGGCCTACTATGCCTTTATTTAACCAAAGAACTTGAATCTGCCATTTCTTCTGTGAAAAACTCCCCCTTGCCCGTCATATCAGATCCAACATCGTAGTAGGCTAGCTAGCTGAACTCTAGGCCGTAGTACTCTTTCAGGCAAATAGTATAACGCGCAGATACCTAGGTGCCAAAAAAAAACCATGTGATTGATAAAGCTGGAGATCGAATCCCAGAGTCGAGACCCATGAAATGCACTCCAGGGTATAGGTACCCCTTTCCCTAGCGTATCTCGATAAAGAACGTATTGATCGAATTGGAATAGGTATGTTCCGACATATGCATGTGGTCAGTTGACAGGTGATGACCCAGATCGGCTTCGCGTTAACTGGGCGCTTAATGAGTAACATCGCCGCAGCGTTCTCTTGCGCAGTCAGCCTAGCGCAGTCGGTTGTATTAACCATATTGCCAAATAACTCCCCAATAAGCAACTGGCCGATTAGCGCTACAAGACCGAGAGTTTGAGAGTGCGGCGACTGCACTTGAAGTCTCGGCGAAGACAGCGGCGAAGATCGTACTTCCAGACATCGTACCCTCGTGAAAGAGCCCTAGCCGGGAAGGCATTCCATTTCCAAAGATAGGACCGACGCCAGCACGAAGCCATCATCAAGTCTGCAGCGACAGGTACATAGCTGAGCATTGAAACAGCGTCTTCACGGAACGTCTTTGACGATCTAGATCCATATTACAAACAATCGAATCGAGAATGAAGGAAATCCTTGGAGGAATGACACATTGCTTGCGAAGTATGCAAAGTAGGGTGTGTGTGAGAAGTAGGTGCTCCACGAATATAAAGGAGGTCTCTCAGTTTTGAAAACGCACAAGGCAACCGCCTTGGTTCAGAGGGGCCCGGCTGGCGTAATGGTAACGCGTGGCACTTCTGCAGAGGGGTAATGCTAAGATTTAGGGTTCGAGTCCCTAGCCGGGTTTTCGCTTTTTGTCCCACCCTTTATGCATATATCCAGCCAGGACCTGAATCTCTAAAAAGCATAGTAGAGTAGACAATAACCCCTTTTATGCAATATAAAATACACTATGTTCTATATATACAATAAATGCATTAATTTTTAGCAGGACTTCTTTGTTTAAGCAATTGTAGTCATGGCGATAAACTATAAGATTTAACTCTCTAGAGCAGTTGGTGGCTTATAGGTAGCGTTAACACAAGGAGTAGGTAGCTATAGCTATGTTGCGGTAAAAACGACGCCGTTAATACCTTGCCGGTACTAACGGTATATACACTCCGTGACAAGCTAAGCTACCAAACAGAAGCTCTAGCAAAACTAGCCCTTCCAGAGTTTCAGAATGAAATAGTAGCAATACTTAAATTAAGCCCATGGAACTAGATGTGGGAAATAAAGGTAAGCATTCCTTCATTATATAGACAGTAAATGAACCAGGTAGAAGGCATTTTCAACGACCTACGCTGTAGGTGTCTGCTTTTGTTTTATAATGAGATTAGATATTTAGCCATGTATCTCGCTGGATACTTCGATAATATCGCTGTATAAATAATCATTTGTATTAATCACAAATAGTTACACTATAATTATTTAATAGATGTTTATGTGTAGGTACGTGAAATAGGTTATAATGTTATATGTAAGAGTAAACTCGAGGATGTAATATCCTAGGAGAAAAAACCGGTAATTACTGGCAAGGAACTTGCACCCTATAAAGTATGTTAACCTTTCACTTAAAATGCTCCAGCTATACAATCAGCAATGTGGAGTTTGAATCGAAAGTCGAGTTAAACAAAGCAATGGCAGGTAGACAGCGGTTGGGTACGCTTTAGCGGGCTGATTGATAGACTTCATCTCTGTTTCTGCCATGCCCCCTTGCTAAGATTGTGATCCCGCAGCGCGAGGATTCGTTGCAACATTGCGTGTAGTAATCTCCTATTTGAATATCGATTTCGTTGTTGTATATACGATCAGTTGGTTCTATAACACTGCGTATACTCCGGATCTTAATAGATCATGATATATAATATTACCTCTCATTCTTTTCCTTCCTTATATGTACTCACTTAGCTCTCAAGCACACTTCGCTAAAGGCTTACGTATTGCTGTATCTACCTTACCCGTAGAAGTGTTAGGATTATAGTCTTTAAATGATGGCGATGTGCCACATTTTCCTTGCTTCGCCCAATGTCTTGTATTTTGTTATGCACTTATTCCAGGCCTAAATGTACCGACGGCATCAACAATTACTGACTTCACTCGATATTACTACCTAAGAACTGCCGTCAGCATGTGACCTTCGCAATATGGAACTGGAGATTAAGGCTGGATCCTATGTCTCTTAATGCCTAATCCAAGCTTTCTTACTCCCGAGGTTATGATAATCATACTTGAAGTTAAGTGAAGATAGGTTGATCTCGTGATCGATGAACATAGGGCTTTAGGTCCAATACCCAGCTGCTACCACCTTAGGCAGGTACCTAAGTTAGGCACCTATACTACCTAATGCGTGGGCCCCGACCCCCGCCACCCTAGGGCTGCATATACTGCGCCTCATACATACAGGATAAATGGCCCCCAAGGTTAAATGATAGGCGTCCTTGATAATAAGTAGGTAGGTATGGATGCCTAGACATGTTATGTACTTTTACTTAAATAGGTATATATATAGGATCATATAGCAGTACCTCGCTATTCTGTATCTCTCCTCCTTTTAACGCGACATTCTCCAGGAACCATCAACCTTAAAACTCCGGGCTTTCAGGATGCAAGGCGAAATCACGGCGCGGAAAAGCGGACGCGCGAGGAATGGCCGACCGGCCAAAAGGAAGCCCGAGCCCGGAGCGCCGGTGAAGACGGTCTACAGGTCTAACGCCGTCGCCATCCCGGATCAGTTCCTCCGCTCAGACCCGGCCGACGCGCAACCCATCATTTACCACCCCATCGACTTCGCAACCTCCGTTCTACCAGAGTACGCCGGCTACTACGCCGTCATCCTCGACCACGTCCTCAGCCCCTCCGAGTGCGCCCAGCTCATCCAGCTGGCCGAGGACAGCGTGATGGACGAGGACAGGGAAGACGGGTCGTCGTGGAGGGCTGCCCTCGTCAACATCGGCGGCGGCTACGAGGTCGAGATTCCCGATTACCGCAAGAGCGGCCGCATCATATGGGACAGCCAAGAGATCGTCGACCGGCTGTGGGAGCGCATGGCCGCGGTGCCCGAGATCCGAGAATCCCTCTCGACGCTCCCCAAGGGCGCCGTCGACGCGTCGGTTGATCACACCAAGTATGAGTTCCACAGGGTGAATGAGCGTCTGCGCTTCCTCAAGTATACCCCCGGCCAGTTCTTCAGGCCTCACTGTGACGGCACCTACGGCGAACGCACGCCCGACGGCCACTTTGTGCAGACGTATATCACCGTGCACTTGTATCTGAACGATTCCCAGAAGGCAGCCGGGCCCGATGTAGATCTTGCCGGCGGGGCGACGTCGTTTCTATCGCGGGATGAGTCTCGCAAGTTCGATGTAAACCCCAAAGCGGGCCGGGTCCTCCTATTCCAACATGCTCGATTGAGACACTCTGGTGATGATGTGACGGCTGGTACCAAGTATACTGTTAGAACGGATATCATGTACAAGAGCCCGAAAAAGGCTTGAAGGAAGACCAATCATCCTCAAAGGCTGTCGATACAACATGATCTCGATAGTCATATGCAGAATGCAACTCTATCGGAATTGTTTTTTTTTCTCCCCCAATGTAACCTAGGTTTTACCTTGAATGTGCTCATTGTGTATCTGCCCTCTGACGTGTTTGACACATGGTAGCTCGCGGCTCACCCCGACTGCGAGAACCATGGAAAGGACGCTCGGAGGCAATAGACTACTTCATTTATCCTAACTATCCAATTCACTTCATTGACGCGACCTTTTCAATCCGCCCCTATAGATATCCCTTGCAGCGCCTTCAACACCTTGCAATTAGACTTATGATCCATCTCGGCCCAGCCTTTCACCTGGCAATCCTAGATAACCCGGTAATCAGCGTGAGACTACGTAAACGAATCAAAGGACGGAGAAAAGACTCACCTTCCCACAATATGCGGCAAAGCCACACCCAGTGCACTTCGACAACTCGCCTTCCGTCCTCCCGCACGCCGCGCACCGCCGCTCCACGCCCTGACCCCCCAACACGGCGTCCAGCTCAAGGACCCTCTCCAGACTCCCCGGTAGGACCTATCGCGGATAAGCAATCTCAGTCTCCCAGCTTCAACGGCAGATAAAGGTGGCACCCCTGTTCACTTACTTTGACGTCGGCGCCCCGACCAGCGGGCACGCGCACGACGGCCTTCTTGCCCTCGCCCTCGCGATCCGTCCGTCTCGCGCCGGGCACGGCGAGCGTGAAGCCCTTCCGGAACGCCCTCAGGCTGAGCCCGTCCTCGAAGAGCAGCGCGAAGTCCACGCCCGTCCGGTCCGTCGCGATGAGCGTCGGCTGCGTGATGGTCATGTTCTCCTTGATCTGGGCCAGCAGCCACCAGTTCCCGTCCGCGGCGTCCGGCACCGGGCTACGGGAGCCGGGACCCGGTATTTCGGATACTGCTGGTAGTTCGTAGAAGGCTGGGAATTGCGAGGGGCTCGTGAGCCTTGATGACGACATGGCTCGCGATGGTGGTGCCTGCGCTGGGCTGACCTGATGCTGATGCTGATGCTGATCTTGATACTTATCTTGATGGCTGGCCAGATTATACTATTTTCCTCTCGCGACTTGTGAGTGATTTTTACTTCTTTTTGGACATTTGTATACCTATAGGTAGATAGATGTGAGAGCTAAGCTCGTGCGAGATGGCGCATCTAAAGTGAGTGAGATGAAACACGGAGGCGTGCCACTGTGGTGCGCCTAAGGCCTCAATCCTCTCTCCTATCTGTAACATCACAACTACACTAATCAACCTAACATGAAGCTGAATAGCAGATCGAAATCGATAAGCAACTGCAATATATCCTGTTGATTTCATCGTCTCTACTGTGCGTAGAACAGTATCTCTAAGGACCCATTCAACACCAAGTACTTTCTGAGGCGCTGTCGGACCCATATTACTCTTGTAAAGATGATTGGCATTGGTCATTTACCCTTGGCTCGTGAATAGGTCCTTAAAAGAGATACCTACTCTAGGATTACCGCCAAAGCGCTACAAACTCAACTCTGTGGTAAGGCTCTATTTGGTATAAATACCCCCACACCACAGCGTGATCTTCTAACCCACCTACATGTATAACTGCATCAGTCGTCATATCACACTTACCATTCGACAGGTATGCACCCTACAGCCCGCAGGTCTAACCCATTTCATCGTTGCTCTCTACACCACCTAATTTTAGTGCTGATTAGAGCAAGGGTGAAAACACAAAGAAGTATACTTATGTTGCGAATATATCTCAATCAGCCACTCCAATTACCACTCTAACTGCCACTCCAAGCCATACTACTAGCCACACGACTAGCCATACTACCCTACCAGTACTACTTTTTAATTTAGTTAAGAGTAGCTATATGGCTAATAATGTGGCTAGTAATGTGGCTAATAATGTGGCTTATGCTACTAGTATCTGTGGCTAATTTGGCTAGCAGTTATTTTGAATACAGTATGTCGATATACAGGAGGAGTATCTTGAGTACTTCTCTGATATTTTTACCCCGGCTCTAATTTGCACTCAAGTTGGGTGGTGTGGAGAGCAACGATGAAATGGGTTGACCCGCGGGCTGTACACTAGGTAACAAAACCTGGGTCGCTCAATCGGAAATTTTCTTAATTTTATATACCGTATTGACGCGGTTCTAAGGCGATGGCCCTAGAGAGAAACAGCAGGGTAAAATCCTGGGGAACCTTGCATAAGCTACTGAAGCTGGTTAGACTGAAACATAATAAGGGGCTTATATATAGGGTATTTCAAAGCGCTAAGCTTAGTTTG